AGTTTAGAAACCCTTTTCTCCCTTCATAGTGGGGTGTTTTGCCCCATCCACTCTTTTCACTGTCGCTAGCCTGTGGGACAGGTACCTCTGTCAGCACCCCCAGATCTCTCCTCCTCCCCAGGTGGACGGGGATTTGTCATTCCCACTTGCTACTGTGCGTCAGTCCCTAGGCTCTGTTTTGAAGTCTTATTTTCTCTTTCTTTCAATTGTGAATGCCACTTATTTCACATGCTCTAAGAAGTTTATCTTAAATACCTTGCAGTTAGTTTTTAGTCTGAAATGAGTTTTGACAGTATTCTGATAGGTGCCTGTCAGGATTTTTTCAACTGGAAAAAAATGTATTTAAAAAAAATAAATCCAGTCACTTTTTGCAGCATTTAAGAAATCCCAAGCCTTTAAGATTATGCCTAATGTTTGCAGAGCGTGAACACTTCTGGTGAAAACCCCTAATAGGCTTTGGGATGCATTTTGCTAAGCTGAGAACATCTAGTGCGGCCTTTTATATAGTGTGTTGATGTTGCTCAGGCGTTGAGGTTCAGGACACCAGGGATATCTAACGTACATGGAGGGAGAAGTGTGCCACCTTTGAGGCTGTCTCAAACAGGGCTCTGAAAAGGATGTACTTAGGTGTGGGACATGGACGGCAGAGCGGTTCAGACTGCTTCACATTGCAGTTCATGTTAACGTCTCCTTCAACTTGGCTTGCCAAGGGTTTCAGAAGATCCAGCCCACGTCTTGTGGCTCAGGGGAACAAGTGGTACCTTACCACTTTTGCTGCTCTCTTGGTGGGGTTTATGGAATAAGGGGAAGGTTGTGTTCATGGTTCAAACAGCATCTAGTGTTGGGTGTGAATTGAAAGCTGAAGTCTGTCAATCTTTAAAACCATAAGAGTGAGCAGATGCTGTTCTTTATGACCCCCAATGTGAAACCTGGACAGCTGTACAGGGGTCCATGATGCATCTATAGATTTGTAGCCCTTTGACACAGACGCTGTTTTCAGACAGGCATGATTTTGCTCTTGTGACTTTTGTCACAAGATACCAGTTTGCGTAGTCCTGGCATGTTGTTACAACTCCTGCTTGTCAGGGGGAAGTTGTGTTAAGTTGTGGCATGGGAAACTTGCAGTGCCCTTGAACATGGTCTCATATATCAGCCTTCTTTCAAATACTTATTTGTTTGCGATTTTTATTTTAAGCAATTACTTCACGTTTGTTAGGTGACTGATAAGTCAGGTTGTGGCAGCGGAGGAGTCTGGGTTAGACTCTCAGTTAATGGAGTCTTGCATGGTTGCTGTGGAATCAGGAGGACTTTTGCCTGTTTTGCCAGCTGAAACTTTGGGTTTGTGAGTTTCACTCAATTCTTTTATATAAAGAAAAAAAAAATTGAAACCTACTGTAAGGGCCTCAGCTGTATTGTACTAGTATTGCTGGTAGCAAAGGCTGAGGATGTCAAAATGTGTAGTAGTTTAAATAAGGGCATGGGAGAAGAATGAAGTCCAGGTCCAGCCCAGTGAGAACAAAAACTTTAAGCACATGAGTTATTTTATTTTTAGCTGGCCAAGCAAGGACAGCAGTGTATCTCACCAGCTTATGTTGCTGAAGTGTCCCTTTCCTTGTCTAAGTCCAGTCTTAGGTGTTTGTGTTGCCATCTGAAGTTGCATGGTGTCTCCAACTTTTTGAACGGACGTGCTACCCTGAAGAATTTGAGCAAAGGCCTTTGTATTTGACCCATTGCTTTGTAACTTCTTCAACTATTTGTAAGGTGTAAACCTCCATTATTAAATAGTTGCACTTTTCAAAAATTAAGACCTTTTCTGGTCCTTACCTGATGTGTTCATCATGCAGGAGTCGTTACTGCGTAAGAGCATTTGGGAGAAAGGAGGAGGTCTCCCATTTGCATTATTTGCCTCTGGAAGCTGATTGTGCGATGGTTTCTTCCATTCCCATAAAGCATGGTTGCCCCGTGTTTCAGCTGTCTGCGTGGGGGGCACTCATCCTGCAGGCATTGGTCTGGCATGGGTTTGGCCCATTCTTACATAGCAGTGTGGAACTGTCACAGCAAATAAGCATTTGTCTAACATCCTTCCCCTGGGCTCAGGCAGGACCCTACGGCTCCCTAATGTTGGTTCAGCAGATGCTCTGGACATATGCGGGGTTGTTATCAGAGACTGTTTTGCAAGCTGTGGGCAGTTTTGGTGTCTCCATTACCACATTTTAAAAGGGCACAATGTCCTGTGGAGAGGTGCGGCAGCTATTATCACAGCCAAGTTATCTGGTAATATTAGAGCACTGAGATATGTGAATAGGTTAAAATTTTTGTGCCTTTGTGCTGGGCAAGTTTGTTTTGGTGAATGACTGCTAGCAAAAAGTTTGAGTTACAAAATTCAGATCTGGATGCAAAGATGGCATGCATTGAATGTATAATTCATTGCTAGTTTATTCTCTTTCACATATATGCACCCCTAGAAACTATCAAAGAGGTGTTGAAAAGAACAATACTGGAAATCACCAGAAAAAGTTTTTCATATTTCCTATGGATCCTTTGACTTTAAATTATCTCAAACAATTGATTATATCCCTCAATACATGTCTTGTTTCAGAAATGACTGTGACTTTATATGTATTTTAGAGAAGCTGAAAAATTTAGGAATGGAAGTTTTTACACTAGATATTTATTTTTAGTTAGTCTACCTATAAAAAAGACATATAGCAGAAACAGAGAAGCAGCTAAGAGATGAGCAATGAGGAGATCCATCAGCCTGAAAAATTTATGCCAGAAGAGACTGGGATGGTTTGCTTTGACCATCTGTCAACGGTCTTGTCCCTACAGACAAGCATGACCCACTGGGGAGGTGGAGTGGAGCAAGGTTAAGTTGGCCAATTTTGCTGGCTCTGGCGCATAATCATTTGTGATGCTGAATAGCATCATGTTTGCAGTGATAAAGGAAATACTTCATTGCAAAATACCATTAAGCTTGGGGGAACTCATCAGCAAGGTATCACTAAAACCAAGAGCTTAACAGGGTTCCAGAGGGGTGATAGTAGAGAACACACCTCGTTTGGAAAAAAAGCTAGTGATGCTGGAAGGGCTTCCGCTTCCTGTTCTTTTGGGCATAAGACAGCCTCTAATTAATAAACAGGTTTTAGGAGGTAACCTCAGAAGGTTCTATCTGTGGGGCTGCTGCAGCTTGTGTTGTTGTCTGACCTCCCAGTCTGGGCTGTGGGAAGAGACAGGGTACACTGCTCTGGGTCACTAGTGTGCCTAAAGGGAGAAGGTGAGGCTTACATGAGCAGTTGCATCCTGACCTTCTCCATGGCAAGCTCCCCCTTCCATGCAGTCTGTTCCTGCTGAAGGTTTCCCTCTCTGACCTGCTTGCTCAGGTGAACCTTCACCTTATTTCTCCTCCTCCATGTGTGAGGAGCAGGAGAAGGAAGACGACTTATATTCCACATATTTTTTAACATCAAATAAATCCCAGTTGGTTCATTTCTCCCTTAAAGCATTAATGAAAGTATTTAAAGATAACAGCCCTGTTTGGCCTCCCTGCTCTGTTCTGAAGGAGTAGCAGTGCTGCTGAAAATGAGAGAAAAAAAAAAACAAACATGAGAGATGAGAGGAGAAGGCTGGCGTGACTGATGCTAAAGTTGAATTAAAATGTTCTCATTGGAAACCAGGATTGTAAGTTTTGTTGGTAGTTATTCAAGCTTGCCCTGATGATACGCCATTACAACTTCACATAGCTACAATCTAAAAGTACCCCAAAGGCTTGGAAGAATATGGTCCAGGCTTTTTATTACAAAGTCAAAAGTTACATTAGATGTGTAAGCATTTGTTTATAGTAGGTATATAAAGACATAACTGTCAGCAATTAATTTCTGTGAGGATTTTATATAATTAATTTCTATAGTTTGCATGTTTGAGGAATAGAGTTTTTAACCACAGTGTTTAGTCACGCATCTTTACAGCGCAAACTGGCAGACTGTTAAGGTCATATTTGCTTTTGTTGCATCCCTGACACTATCACAGAATAATCCTTTGTTCTTTGATACTCTGTTTCCAAATCTACGAGTATCTCCTCCCAAACATATGTGCATAATGTAGTGTATATGTGAACACAAGGAAAAGGAAGCAGATGACTTGTGTTCAGTATAATGATTGTTTTGTGCTTGAACTGCTGCAGGCTCCCTGTTGAAAAGAAACTCATGCATCCATTTGTTCATGAACAAAGCTGCTGTCATGACTGTGTTGATCATGTATTGACTCTTTGTGTAGGGCCTTGGTTAGAGAAAGACGTAATCTCCTTCCTGTTTCATAGCCTTTCTCCCTCTTCTCTTTCCTCACCATAATCTTAGTGTGCTGATCAATGCCTTCATGGCAAGTGGCATCTCAGATGAGGTTCCCATCAGTGGAAGAGAGAGGAGAATGGATGGTGGTTGGTGGAGGAATCCAGGTGGGTTATTGCTGAGGGGTGTTTGAGTATAAATTAGCAATGTTTGTGTCTGAGCTGGCACTTAGCACAGGTGGATAGGACAGCATCCAAACACACAGGAGTTCAAGGATCCATGGAGTTGCTCTTGCAAAGGAGGAGTGAGAGAAATAGTCAAGTTGTGTGGGAGTCCTTGGGAAGTGGAAGATTTTTCCCTGAGCATGAGGCTTTGATATAGAAACTTCACACATGCTTTCTTCCAATTTTGGAACCAATTCTTGCCTTCTCTTCTGATATGTGGCCTCAAGGATGGCTGTGATTTCAGTGCTGAGCAGTCTCTGTGTCATGCTCTGTACCATCAGACTGTCCAGATGGGACCCTTCAGTATCCTCGTAGCCTTTTATTCTTCAAGATACTCTAGAAACCCTTAGTGATGCACAGGGTGGGGATTTGACTAACTTTTATTTTGTTCTGTAGTTCCCCTCTGAAGTATCCCTGCTTTTTTTGCATTGGAAATTTTTCACTTATTGCTCATGGCAGATTTGAAACCCTTTTTCCCCCGTTCTGCTTTCAGATTCCATAGGTGGATCATTTTCGTCTTCCTCCCACCGATGCCACCACAAGCAGAAGCACTGTCTCCCCATCCCCCAGTGTGGAGCTCTGTCCATCAGCCCTCTGCTTTTCCATCCTCACACGAAGGGATCCCAGATCATCATGGACACGACGCAGAAGGCCGTGAAACGCCAGGCTAGTTTCTGCAATGCCATTACCTTCAGCAACAGGCCCATCGTTATTTATGAACAAGTCAGGCTTAAGGTGAGTAAATGATACCTTCCCTTATTGCCATGGGAGCTGCTGTGAATGAATGTTGAGGTGTATCAGGCTTTGGTGCCTGCACCAAATCTTTAGCCCTTCTGTGAAAAGCATAGTAGTCAGATTCTGGCCTTAAAGATCCACAGTCTTTGTCAGTACTTCTGCTTTTGTCACTGTAGTTCTTGGAGCCATTTGTACCGACTGCTGTAGAAACTGGGAACAAAAGTGAAATCCCCACTCCAAAAGAGTTTATCTTGATGTTAGACAAGGAACAAGAGATTAAGTTAAGATTGATTGGAAAACAGCAAGAAAAGAGAGCTGTATTGGTCATTCCAAAAGGCAGCTGCCTCGGTATGCCTCTAGCCAATGTGTCCTCTAGGCTTTGCATGCATCCTGCAAAGTTTTACTGGGCAGGCTGAGGGAGGGTGAGGAGTTAGTTAACTGTTCAGTTCCACAATAAGCACTTTCCTTCCTATAAACAAGGCAGTAATGAAGGCTGGTCTGATGGAGGTGGGAGTCAGCCTCTCCACAGCCGACAGGTAGGAGGTGTAAAGGACCTGGAAGTGAAGGTGCTTGTTCATGTGCTTGGCGGGGAGGGTAAAAGGGTTTGGCTGACAGGGTGAAAGGAGCTGTCTAAGAAAAGGATCTTTCTGGCAGTCTGCTGAGGACTTTGTTGAATCAGTTGCCTGATAGCATTAAGGTCAGAGGAAAGAACATTGCGGTCATCACATTTTTCTTGCTGGCAGAGGCTGATGTCATGTCCTTTGTGTCTGTGGTAGCCAGGAGAATGGAGCTGGTACCCCTTGTGCTGCATCTGGCACGGGAAGTTGTGCTGGTTTTGGCTGGGATAGAGTTCATTTTCCTCATAGCAGCTAGTATGGGGATGTGGTTTGGATTTGTGCTGAAAACAGTGTTGATAATACAGGGGTGTTTTGGTTATTGCTAAGCAGTGCTTACACGGGGTCAAGATCTTTTCTGCTTCTCACCCCACTCCACCTGTGAGTAGGCTGGGGGGTGCACAAGGAGTTGTGGGGGGACACAGCTGAGACAGCTGACCCCAACTGACAAAGGGATATCCCAGACCATATGGCATCATGCTCAGCATATAAAAAGCTGGGGGAAGAAGGAGGCAGGAGGACGTTTGGAGTGATGGCGTTTGTCTTCCCACGTAGCCATTACACGTGATGAAGCCTGGCTTTCCTCGAGATGGCTGAACACCTGCCTGCCGATGGGAAGCTGTGAATTAATTCCTTATTTTGCTTTGCTTGTGTGCATGACTTTTGCTTTGCCTATTAAACAGTCTTTATCTCAACCCACAAATTTTCTCACTTTTACACTTTGGATTTACTCCCCCATCCCACTGGAGAGGAGTGAGCAAGTAGCTGGGTGGGGCTTAGTGGCCGTCTGGGGTTAAACCATGACAGAAATTCATCTTGTCTAAGACAGCATGCCTCTGAATGTACCTGGAGCTGCTTCTTGATGAAGAAATTCATCAGTCCCCTTTGGAACTGAAGCATTTTTTAGGGTCTCAGCACCTTGTGCTTGGGGCCTTTTAAACTTCACCCACAGATATTTTCCAATCTTTATGCCCTCTAGTGTGTGGGACTGCATTTTTCCATTCTTAGCTGATTTTATGCCTCTCATTGGCACAAAGTAGGTCATCTTCTTTGGCAACTTTAGTTCATGGCACACATGAAAGATCTGCCTGCAAATATTTTATTTATGCACAAGGAGTTTTCCAAGAGGTTTGTCTGCATGTAGCTACTGAGTCTGAATGATCCTGCTGTTGCCCATTGCTAGAGATCCCAGAGCACTGGGCCCTACAGCAGCGTATCAGCTTTGCCTGCCTCTTCCCTTAAGCCAATAAAGGAGCAAGAAATTAGGAAGATGCCTCCTTTTGAAAATAGATATTTCCTTTCCTGTGGAGGACTTACTGCTTCCATTCAGGCTAGAAACCCAGAAAGACTCACTCATGTTGCCTAATGGGATTTTTTTCCATGTTGGCCAGCAGTTTGGACAAACAACCACAAAAAACGATTTGGGAGGAGATGAAAGGAACATTTTGTTTTTGAAAACACCATCAAAGATTTGAGTGGGTTTAGTGGTTTAGGCAAAGGTTCTGGGTTATTTCTTCCTCATTCTGAAACAATGTAGCTATCTCTGGAAATTCACACTTGTTTATCACTGTATATTTTAGGATTTTAGCTTGCATAACATATGTGAAGGATACGCATGCAAATCTGCACAGGGGATTTATGAGCAGAACTCCCGCTGAGTCCAGTGGGGAGGTCTCATGGGAATAATCAACAGACTTAGCAGAACTTGTACTCTAGGGATGAATGGAAATGTGAAAATATCTTTGCTTTTCTGATAAGTCCAGCCTGCGATTGCCTTGTCAGTGTGTGTGCCTGTGGAAAGTGGTGTCTTAAACCTTCTTACTAGCTAAAGACTGGGGACCATGAACCCCATCATTCAGGTCCTATAAAGTCTAAACTCTCTTTGGAAAAATAGAGGAAAGAAGTCAGATTTCATTCTGTTTATGAGGTATTGTATCTCAGGTTTTATTCTGAGATTTCTTTGCAGCTTTGGGAATACCATCGAGCAGTCAGATTTCCGCTTTCTTTGCCTCTGAGGTATATGTCCCAGTATGATTTCTCCTATGTAATTCAGGGTACTGATAGAAAGTGGTGTGAGGCTGTCAAAGGTGACACAAGGCACGGGGCAGCAAAGAACAGGAGCCTGAATCTGTGGAAGCAGCCATGGCTTAGCAGTTTGGGTGTAGACTGTATCTTTTTCCTCCCCTTCTAGTACCCAGTGGACCTCCCAAGCTTTTCTGCTAGCAGTGGCTGCCGAAAAGATAATTTGGTCCATCATTAACCATTGCCTTTTTTAGCAAAACTGTGTACCCTTTGTCCAGCTGTGTCTAATTCTTGGCAGGCTTTATACTAGATTTTAATTTGGATATTAATTTGCCTGTGGTCAGATGGTATTGAGAACTGTTTATAGGTGCTGATTAATACATGGAACATGTGCAGCCTTCATTACCATATGAATATTTACTCCATGCAGCCTGTGATTGCTGTGAAGTATTGGCAAGAGACTGTGAAAGAGTAAATTGTACAAATAACAATGAGGCCATATTTATCTCAGACCCAAAAACTTTTAGGGCTTGCAGTAAATTTGCTGCAATAAATAATCCAGGCTTCTTCTTGGAATGTATGTATATGCCCCATTTTGTTATGTGCACATCCCATACACCCCCCTTCCGCTGGGGAGATGCATGATCCCATCCCATCCTGGCCAGCGTATAAAATAGCAAATCTGCTTCAGCCCTTTTTAGTGCCACCCCAGTGTACAGGAGCTTCCCATAGTTCCTGGGACTGAGGTCAGTGCTCAAGTGTTTTATGTAAACAGTTTAGGTGCTTGTCTGAACTGAGTAGGGATAAAGAGCAGCACTCACTTAACCAAGGAACTGTCTGTTGATGACATTTTTCTGAAGCTCTGAGTTATTTTCTCTGATATGCTAATTATAAGACAGAAATCTCTGGGCTTTGAACAATTCTTTTGTTGTGAGCTTGTTGTGCCCCTAGATTTGCCTTGGAGAGGAACATGTGAAAGAAAAATGCAGTATTTACAAATGTGATTAGAAGAGAATTCTGAAGTCCACAAAGAAAATGTCTTGGAGGATCCCTTGTTGAAAATCCTGTGCTTCCAAGCTGGGACATGAGGGGCTGCTGCCAGGCTTTTGAGGACAAAGTTCTGCAGTCCTGGGCAGTTCAGTCTCTGGCACTGCCACTCGTCTCAACCATTAGTAGTTGGGCAGAGCAAGAAATTACAATAAGGTAGCAAGTTTTGTGTGACATCTGGTAGGTGGTTCCTGTCCATGTTTCTGCTGTTGTCCTTCAGTCAAGAGTGAAATTGCTTGAGGCTGCCAAGGCTTCGATGGAGGAGGTCTATCTCAAGTGCTCTCATGTTTGCTGCAGGTTCAGTGCATGAACAGAAACACCAATTATGTGTCAGCTGGCATGCAGGAACTGTCCTGGCCCCACATCAGGACTGGACCCAGCTTCCTTAGGTCTTTAATTTCATAGTCTGTATGCTGACAGGCTGAATCCCTTTGAGAGAAACAGTTCCCAGCAGGTTCATACTCAAACAACAAAATGAGAAGAAAAGTTCTCCAAGGGCATCATCTCAGTCTGGGGACCATACTAACTCTGCTTCCATGGGAATAAAGAGTCCGTGTAACTGCATGGTGGTTTAGATGTGCTGTACATGTTTAGGACCCGCTACCTGCTCCCCTTAGATCCCCTTCAGTCCAGGGCTCAGATCATGTGAAAAGCTGATTGCTCTAGAGGCATCTGTGATCCTTTGTCCTGATGTCTTTCAGGTGCAGAAGGGTGGATATGACACATGCACCATCCCAAAAACTATAGCAGATATTCTTGACGCCAGACACACTGAGTAACCACATACTGACAGGTGGGGTGTAGATGTGCACAACATATTTTGAAAAACACCACTGGCAGCTGAAATAAATAGGTTTTCCCCAATCACAAGGCAGCATCTATCATTGCCTCCTAACTGTGTGTTTAAATACAGTTAAATAAATTGTGTTTCCCCACACACAACAGTTCTCTGTTGCAAGGCTGTGATTTCATCCAATCTGACAAGCTAAAACGGGGGAAGACTGTCTTTTACTTGACTGGGAAACCCAGAAACCCCTATAGTAGTGGTTGTGATCCTGGAGCCAGTGTTTTTCCCTCAGGTCGTGAGAGACCCCATCATCTGAGCACTACCGGGGTAGACCTCTGCTGCTGCAGGTGCTGAGATAAAAGCTCTTATGGCCGTTTTGGGCACATTTTGTGAGAGGGTGATTCTCAGGCCAAAAGGAATTACCCAAGAAATAGAAGTGAGTCATCATGCAGCTCTAATTACATTTCATCTCTCCACATAGATTTAATTTTATTTTTTAAAAAATATGTGCGTTGTATCCTAAGTGTGCAGCATTGCTGCTTGCAGCTGAAAAAGCTACAGTAGTATTTGGTGGGTAAGATGCTTCCTAAATCTAGTGGGCTCCTCTGAGTGGTGGTTGGTGGTGCTTGATGGCATTGAGCCTGTAGTGTGTAAATAGATGTTCAAGTGCCAAACACTGTTATTGCTTCTGTTATCTTTGCAGATCACTAAAAAGCAGTGTTGCTGGAGTGGGGCTCTTAGACTCGGGTTTACTTCCAAGGATCCATCGAGGATTAACCCTGACACACTGCCGAAGTACGCGTGCCCTGACTTGGTTTCCCAAAGTGGTTTTTGGGCCAAGGCTCTTCCAGAAGAGTTTGCGAATGAGGGAAACATCATAGCCTTCTGGGTGGACAAGAAAGGACGGGTTTTCTATCGGGTGAACGACTCTGCTGCGATGCTTTTCTTCAGTGGGGTGAGGACAGCAGAGCCCCTCTGGGCTTTGATCGACGTCTATGGACTCACCCGTGGAGTGCAGCTCTTAGGTGAGTACCTGGCCCCAAATGCGCAGGGGTGATGCTGAGCCGTCCCTGACGAAGGGCCACCCTGCCACTGCCTGCTGCCCTTGCTGTGCTGGGGCAGGTGCAGGGAAACGGCCATTGTTCCTCCCCAGAGGATCTCACGACCTCAGCCTGGATTGGTGGGTGGTTGAAACTTAGCATGTAAATATAATGTGAGTGGGAGGTGGGAAACAACCACTACAGTATAGCACTAGAAGCCATCTGTAAATAAGTGGATTTCTGCTCTATCACAGCATAGTCTGGAGTGTGGCATATACCTTGTAAAACTTTCTTTTTTATCTTACCTGCTGCTTTCCCCGTGCCGAAGTGGGGAAATGTGTTACGGATAAATCCTTCCTGGATGGCACTATTATGATTTTCTGGCTGGTTTAGTGGGGAGATCTGAAACATGGATATCTTCCAAATTACTTGGGAGAAGAGGGGGTTGGTTTTGCCAGGATGTTGCTTTCACAGAGGAGTTTGATTCATCCTCTGGAGCCTGAAGGTTTTATGTACAGCTGGGGTTGGAAGATGAGGAGTGCTGAGTGCCTGTTTCTTCTGCCGTCCTCAGCTGAAATGGAGATAGTTTGTCATTCATGAGGACTCAATTTAGGCCCCAAATGTGCAGGTTGTCAAGGTTTGGGCTGTGTGAGTTTATATATCTTACAGGAACTGAAAAGAGTCTCCAAGGACCCAACTTAAGGGGTAGCTAGGTTGCTGGGGGACCAGAGGTGTGAGCATGCAGCCTTAGAGTTGTCTTTGCATTGTCGCTGGTGGGCAAATCACTGCACTTCTTCATATAACAGTAGTTTCATTGGTCTTGTTTTCACCATGGAAAAGCTTAGATTGTACCTGCAGACCATCATAAGATGAAGTTCCTTCTGAAGATGGGATGATCTTGCTAGGCTGAGAGAGATCCTGGCTTTTTCCTGTTGTGCAGCCTGATAATCTCTGTTAAAATGATATCTTCATGCCATATATGAAAAGCTTTAATTAAGCTTTTTTGACAGTTCTGCTTCCTTTCTGCACTGCTTGCTTTATCAATAAATGTGGTGGCAGGACTGTCTGTAGCAACCTACATGTCAGGGAGGAGGGATGTGGGTTCAGGAGGTGAAGAAATGGGACTGACCTCTTCTTGCTGCAAAAGCTACTGGCCCAAGATAGCACAAGGCAAGGGAATTAAAGAATTTCTCAGCAGCTTTTTGCTTTCTTTTAAGAGCAGAAAGATTTATCCTTTGTTGTGAATCAGCTTGAACCAGAGCCACTAGGCAACTGTTTGTAGGCCAAGGTGGTGATATTTGAATTGGGATCTAGAGTTTGGGCAAATGTCATGCCAAGGGTTCAGTTAGAAAGAGCTGATAAATGACTCCAAGTCCTCCGGCTGTTCTTTTGAGATTTGGCACCTTGGGACTCCTCCACCTGATTAATGAGGGCCCATAACTCGGGATTATGTGTTTCCTTTCAAAACACCAGAGAAATCATTTCCTATCCATCATCCTCCCCTGCATTGTCCTAGCATCTTCCACATCTCCTTTCACAAGGAAAATGTGACTCTTGCCAGTCACTGACTTGCCGCTAGTCTAACAGGCTTCGGACTCTCTGGTGGGTATAAAGTCCCTGAATGAAGCAGGCAGCTTCTGAGTTTACACAGTTGGCGTGGAGCTCAGATACGTATTTATAGTTAGTTCCAGCAGCCTTCAGCAGGCTTTAAGCCTAGAAATTGTGCTGAAATGTCTTCAGCTCGAGTCTTCTCTATCTCCATTCATTATTACACAGCACTAAAAGTCAGAGCAGGGAAATAGTCAGCTGTGTTGCCTCTGGATCCTATAGACATACCCACTGCAATGCTCTGCATGCCTGTTTTAGTGTAGCAGACCACACATATAGTACAGGACAACTTGCCAAAACCTCCTGGACTTGATAAATGAATTTCATAACTTTGCTACAAACATATGGCTGAATTCAGCCTGGTATGGCATGCAGGGCATCTGATGGAGGGTGGGGATGCTGGAGTGGTACGTTGAACAGAAGAGCCTAGCATTTCAGATTCTAGTTTAATGATTTATTCTATCCCCCAACCCCAAACGTGTTTCTTGTTCTTGACCCTCGCTATTTTCCTAATGACTGTAGGGTTGCAGGGCCATACTGCACCTCTGCACTGTCTCCATTTGCTTTTGTGTGTATTTCAGCCAAGAATTGACCAAAAGCTTTACCATTTCTGGTGCCTGTCATTCTGTTTATTGCAGAATTATTCCCTCCCCACTCCCAATAATGCAACTTCACTTCCAAAATCAGATTTGCCCCAAGGAAAGATGTGCAGCAGTAAGTCTTGTGTCACTGCAAGATCCCAGCCCTGCAGGGGAATGCACAGTGTGCATTTGTGGCCCCAAAAGTCACAACTTCCAAAACATCACGTTTGTGTTTTGCTCATCTGCATAACAGTAGCAGTTCCAGCCAAAATAAAGGTCCCAGTAAAGCAGGGCAAAGACCAAGTCTAGTGGCACTGTTTGTCTTACAGATTTAATGAAGAGGCACTTGAACAAAAGAGGGCCCAAAGCCTGGGGGAGTTAAATGATTTGCCAGAGCTTAAAAAGCAGTGCCGCCTGATTCAGGGATGCTATCAGCCGTGTTGTCCAGCTCAGTCCTGCCTCCCTCTTTATCAGTATCACAGGCATTGCACAACACTCTGGCATCACTAAATTGTGCCTGTGGATGAAAGAGAAACAGCTGGTTTGTACCTTAATTTTTCATTTCCTTCTTATGGCTTTAGCCATAGCATCAGCCTTACTGGCAGTTACCCTCATGTCATTACTGCTGTCAGTGCACTGTTGCAGATGTTCCTGGGTCTGACTGCCCTTGCTATATCTTCAGAAGCAGAGCCCTTTAAGCAGCATCTTTGCCTGCTTGATTTTGTTCTGAAACATGTAGAAAGGGCTTACACAGTCCATGCATCTCAGCCGAGGGGAGGTCAGGAACTGAGTTTGGACCATGTCTTGCCTGTGACTGCTGGTGTGAATCAGAATGAGAGACTGGCTTAAATCCACCTTGAGGTGCCTTCAGTGATGAGGTTGACAGTGCTCACACGCTCAGTCGCAGTTGAGAGGCTAGTCCTTGCTCTCCTTGCCTCTGCCCATGTTATAGAGATAAAAAGGCTTAAAGTCACCCAGGAATCTGGTCTCCTCTGATCACACAGTCTCAGCTGGTTTCCTGCCACAATGTAAAGGCCTGCATAGGTGAGGTTGTTGCAATCCAGTGCATGCAAGTTCTGTGTTTTAGGGCATGAGTTTCAGCGTAGATGCAGGCTTATGTGACCTGTAAACATGCCCTTATACAGCGACTCTCCTGCCAACATGCTCAACTTGCAGGCAGGATGGTTTACAGCTCTGCTTCCCTTTTTGGGCAGCTAGTTTTGCACAAGTGCACTTTTACATTCCAGGATAATTTAAAGTAATATTTACTAGGAATGTGTCTTAGCCTTATGTTATCACTTCAACATACACACATGCTCATTCACACTTTAAAAAGAGTCCGAGAAAAATGGAATATATGCAATCTGCTGCCTCGCTGCTGTGATAAAGCATCAAAAAAGAAAGGGAAAGGACCAGCTGTTTAAATCCTGGGGTCCTCGCAGCCCTGGAGGAAGGATAGCAGCTCATGGGAACCAAATGGTGGTGTCTCACAGTAGCCAGCTTCTTTCAAGCACTTGGCCACTTAGCCCAGCATAGACTAAGAAGTGTTCATGTACACTTTCTGTGGACTCACTGTAGGACAGCAAGGATGATGACTTTCCTCAGTGATGTGTGTGTTAAAGCGTAACGTGTGTTTTCAGCATTTTCCTGTACCTTTTGGTGGGGAATTCGAGGCTTATCTGTTCTATGGTGCCTTTTTGAAAATGTCACCGTTTTTTTTGCCATTGACTTTGTAGCCCAGGATTGCAGAATGGTTAAGATTGGAAAGGACCTATAAAGATCATCTAGTCCTACCATCTAGTGTCTTTTCTTTCAAAGCATGACACGTGCTCTGAAAGCATGGAAAATGGGACTGCAAAGAAATTATGATTTCGGCATACCTCTCTACCCACCCTGTATTTCCAGTGGTCCCATTCATTACCAGCATGGTCAGCAACCAAACCCTTTTACTGCTCATTACCCTGTTCATGCTCTTCTCCCATCCATCTGTATTTTCATTCATGCAGTATTTCAGTGTAGTCTTGGTCTTTTACCAGCACAGACTTGAAAACCAAGGATAAGCCACTGAGAGGCACCTGTTGAAAGCAAAGCTTCATCACCTCTTGTATATATAAAATATGTGAAAAACTAGTAAGGCCTTGCAAACTGAGAAAATTTTAAATTCATATGTATTTATATATGTATTTAAATAACATAATGCATTTTAATGTATTAGGTTTACCTGAAGTAGAAACAGTATAAAAATATACTTCAGTCATAAATGCATATACTGATCCTTGTAGAATTAACTGGCAGCACTGTATATTATATTAAATATTTAGGAAATCTTTTCTTTCTCCAGATTCCCTTCCTAACTTCTTACTGCTTCATGTTTACAAAGTATCAAAAGTCAAGATGTGGGCTGTTCATGGATGGAAATGTTCCCATCTCAGGACTCAACCTGGTGTATATTTGGCAAGGAAGTTGCACATTTTGTAGGGAAAGAAGGAAACATGTTTTTATTTCTTCACTCCTGTCAGTTTTTAGGTAAACTGAATCTCTAGCTCCAGGGCACCTTTAGAAGAAACATTAAATAAGCCTCAAATGATGTGGATTTATGGGCAAATTTCAGGTGTGAATGGTATAAGACTGATGATAAATTTGATTTATTGCATGCATCTGGAGTTTTACCATGTGGTTATTACCATTTTATTTTCCAAGTGCAAAACTTATTTTCCATTGCCCACAGGAATCCATTTTTGTTGCTATTCTGACACATGCAAATAAGCAGACTGATCTGCTGAGAGTGCTTCACAC